GATGATCCACACAGGCTAATACCTTTGGATAGTCAATAAAATAAAATATAGGAGCTCTGGTAGCATAGTGCCTAAAGCATTTGGCTGCTAACCAGAAGGCTGGTGGATCAAATCCACCAGCCACTCCTCGGAAGGAAGGTTGGGCAATCTACTTCGGTAGTGATAATGCATCGGAAACCCAAGGAGGTGTCGCTATGAGTCAGGTCAGACTCAACAGCACATAACAACAACAGTGAAAGAGACAAACAACAAACTTCTAACAAATGTATGCATATCAGATAGTGACAAGTGTTATGAAGACAGTAAAACAGAGAGAGGCAAAAGAGTGAGTGAGGTTTGGAGTGGGAGCTAGAGGGAGCTACATTAGGAGGAGTGGCTAAAGATGTGATGTGTGAGCTGAGACCTAAATGGTCATAAGGAGATAACTGTGAGAAGACCAGCAGAAGAGCAGGAACAGAAGCATAATGAGCAAGGGGAAGGCAAGGCTGGAGCAGTAAGCAGGGGCCAGATTGGGTAGGGCTTTATAGGCTATGAGAAGAACTTTAGCTTTTAGTTTAAATCAAACAGTTCAGTGCAACAGAAGATGGATCCAGGGAAGAGAGAGGCAAGAGAGTCTCAGATATTAGCTGCGCTCCAGAACCTGACCCAGCCAGTAAATAAGATGGACTTCAAATCATCAGTGAGTAATTGCCAAGGTCTCTTATGGTCAGATAGAAAAATATGGACTGAATGATAGACCAGTTGTAATAAGTATTTCAAGAACCTCTCCCCAAGTTGTTACCATGGAGGAAGACATGACACATGGTTTGGCCCTCACCTGAATCTTGTCTTGTTCCACATCAACTGCTGATCATGTTTCCAAAAGATGTGAATTGGTAATGAATACACTGATGACAAAATCAAGGCCCAGACAAGTCTAAATACTCTAAAGTGATGGACCAATTATTCCAAGATGAAATGCAGCAGAAATAAATGTAAAGATCTATATTGGAGGCTCAAAAGAAGCTCAATTGCACAAAGACAAGAACACAGACAGTGGCATCATTATGAAAAAGGCCATGGCTTTGATTGAAGAGTGTGCACAGTGTCAATCATCAGTGGGATGTGAAGTTGTCAAAAGTTTACCTGACTCTGGACTCCATTCATATAGATATAGTGCCCAGAAAGCATGAGAGGACTGTTTTGCTCTGCTCAAAACTGGTCCAGGCCCACCTGGGATATTATGTTCAGATGGAGGCTCCATATTTTAAAAAGAGCCTGATAAAATTAGAGAGATTTGTATGGTGAAGGGAATAATAATCTGGGTCCCAAGAGTAATGGTTAAAGAAACTGGGGCTGTTGGGCCTGGAGGAGAGAAGACTCAGGGGACCATGGTCTCTGTTCCTCAGACCTCTGAAGGACTGTCATGGGACAAAGAGAAGAGACATATTTGTGTAGCCCAGGATAGCAAAGCCAACACTAATGGGTGGAATTCACCAGGAGATAGTATAGCTACACAAAGAAATTCACTTTTGGTCAGGGGCTGCTGTGCAAAGGCAAAACTGATACCTTCTTGGCAGTGACGCTGTATATTCAAGTACTAGAAGAAGGCTGCCTCCCATTCCTTTTGGGATGTTTCATGTTTTTTTGGTTTTTGTTGTCTTTTTTTTTTTTTCCATCTCCACAGAGCCTTACACCAGGATAATGTCTCAGTGAACCTATTTGTAGTAAACAAGCCATGGCTCTTCTCCCTACTCTGGTGTACAGGGGTAGATTCAGTCACCACCAATGACTGCCAGCTGCTGCAGCAGATGCAATACCCGATCTGGCTTATTGTAAGGGCTCTGGAATTCATCCCTTCTCTCCTTCTCCCATCCCTGATCCTCCTTAACCCTATCTCCTCATTTATTCCCCCCCCCATATACTACCCTTGGGGCTCTGGCCACCAACATGGGCCTTTTTCTATTCTCATAGCCCCCTCAAACCTATCTAAGGATGTGGATCATCACCAACTGTGTCTCCACCCTGCTGCTTTTGTGGACCTTCCTCCTCCAAGGGTGAGTGCCCTGTGCCTCAGCTTTCTGGAATAATCACTCTCCCCAGGTCCCTGCTGATAGGGCTGATTTGGAATCAAATATGCTGCCTATGGCTTAGGTTTGATCTGATTGGTTTCTTTGAGATCCTTAGACCCTTATACCACCAAATTGGTTTGAACCTGGAAAAGGCAGTTTAGGGGAATCTGGGGTCAGAAAGTCCTGCTTGAAGATGGCTGAACTCACAGTGGAAAGCTTTTCTTCTTATAGGAGATGTGCTAAGGAGCGAGAGAGAACTGGTAAGAAGTCCCCCCTCCAACATACCTCATTTTTCTTCTCCTCTAGTCTTACCCTTGCTCACTCACAGTATACTCCCCTTTTCTTCCCCCACCACACTTCCCCAGGCTTAGAAACAGCAGTGCTGCTGACCAGGATCAACAATTTCATAATGGAGTGAATGTCCTGCCCTGGACCTTCACCAACTGGAGCCTGAGCCTATCTGCATTGCCAAACAACAAGGAAGGGAGAATGGCTGAGGTGGAATGTCTCATGGGTAGGCAGTTGGAGTGGGAAGAACTTTGGTAACAGAAGGTTTTGAACCATGAGGGGGCCATGTGCTCTTATGGTGGGCAAATCCCAAGCTGTTATGTTTCTGCTCCCTTTGGGTTTTTGACTTGTGGTGGTTGGGAAGACAGTGAGTCATGAGAAGTTTCAAATTGAAACTAGAACAGACTGTCAAGATAATGTTTCAGACCTGTGTGCACGTGTTCTTGTGTAGAAGGCACAGGGTGTGTCAAGGGTGGGACAGCTTGGAAGAGTGACTGAAATGCCAAAGTGGCCTTTCCTGGAGAGCTGTAAAATGATTAAGCCACCTTCCCCACCTCTCGCACTGTCTCCACTGACCCCTACTAGCTGCTTTCCAGCCTAGAGGCTAGGGGCTAAAGAGCCCTTTAGCCATGTAATTTTGTGCCTACAGGTGGCTTTTTTGCTGTAAACAGCCTTTTCTTCAAGACAGGTTAGTTCCTGTAGCTTGTCTATTAATGGGTTATTCGATCAATTTAATTCCCATTGGGTCACAGTCTAATCTTTTCAATTCTGAGGGTGGGAGGAGGATGCACCTTCCTAGAAGGGTTGGTTGTGATACGACATTGCGGGTGGAGGAGGGTCATTGTGGGGAGATTCTTTGGTTGGAGGTGAGAGAAGAACGACCTAAGAAGACAACGAAGGGGCTGCAAGAAGGAAGCCAGAGCGAAACCGCCACGCGGTGTTCCCGGTGGCCCTGGCGCGCTGTGTAGAGTTGCGTTGTAGCTCCACCTTGTGGACACCTGTCCCAAGAGGCGGGCCGTGTTCGTCGTCACCCTGATATATTTGCTGTATGCCACTCGTTCCCTTTCCCAGTTGGGGACGACTTATGTCCTTGGCTCCTAATCCTGGGGGCATGGGCTGATCTTCACAAGTTTCTGGGCTGGACACAATGTCTAGTTTCCGGCCTAGCCTTCCCATTGAGAAGCAATTTCCTTAGTGTGTGTGCTACTCTTGGGCTCGTAGGCAAGCTGTGGTTAGCCAATGCAGAGCTGGCCTCGGACGAAGAGTCTAATGGGGGGGTGGGGGGGGTGAGGATTAAGGCAAAAAACACAGTAGGGGGCTCTGTGGTTGACCCCACAGTTCCCCACCGCACCAGTACTCGCCTTGGTTTGTGTCCCCACCAAAGACAAATCGAATTAAGGCACTGGCAAGGTCAGGATGTTCTGTCCCCAATTCCTCCTTTTTCCAACTGAGACCTGGGACAACACTACTGCCTCGGGACAAGACCCGAGCCCTCCGTTGCAGGGCAGCCATGGAAACTACAATTCCCACGATGCCTCAGACCACTTCCGGTCTCGGGGAGGAGACTTTGACTATGTGTTCCCGCCCTCTCCTCCTTCGGGACCCCACCCCTTCCCCCTCTTTCGCCGCCCCGCCCCCGCCATGAACACACAAGCACATATACACACATGCAGGCGTACGCACTAACATACCTGGTCTGCAGCTGGCGGCGGTGGGCGCGGGCGCTGGTGTGCGACTGGCAAAGAGGCTCTCCGGGAGCGAGCATCGCTGCCTTTGCCCTGCTCCTAGTCCTCTTGGCATTCAATGCTGCCTTGTACCGGGCAGATCTCCTTCACACACTGCCTTTTCAACGTGTTGTTGTTGTTGTTTCAATGTGCATTTCCTTATTTTTCCCCACTCCCGATCCTGCCCCTCAGGCCGACCGCTGGCCTCAGCTCGGGAGCATCCAGTTCATCAGACACTCTCACCTCATACTTCTTCCTCCTGTTGCTGCTTTTCTGTCCCAGTCTCACAGCCTCACAGTCCTTCAGCCTCTTCCTCTCCTCCTCTCTCGAGCTCACCATGACAGCCTCCACAGTCACCACCCCGCAGCCCCAACCTCCTAGTTTCTAGGTCCTGAGCTGCAGTTCTCTAACCTCAGCATCCAGTCTCCGATCCAAAATGCCCCAGAGTGCCAGTATCCAGCCCTAGCCCCTAACCTTGGGTTGGGTATTTTAGCCCTGGGCCTGCCACCGCAGATCCGTACTCTTCCCAGGAGAACTGGATAACGGTGGCGTGGCGTACTTATCTTCTTTGAGGCCCTGGACTCCAGACCTGAAGCTGACAAAAACTCCAGGGCGGAGGGCCAGGGAGAGCTGCTCAATGGGGCCATTGCTCTCCATTATTTTTAGCTGCTGACTCACAGTTCCTGGCAGGCGGGTTCGGGGCTAACAGACTGGGCTAGGGGGCTATTAATAGAGCTGAGGCATAGTCCCCACCCAGTTCAGTTTGGAAGCACACGGAGCAAGGAGGCTCTTCTGCCGTCATGCTTTGTGAAGATGTTGTGGACTGAAGCAGTGGCTGGGCTAGATGATCTATGGCTGCCAGTTACCTCAGCCTGGTACTCGAGGGAAAGAACTACAATGGGCACAGCTCTCCCCTAGCTTGCCAGGGCTTCCGGCCTCTGCCACAGTGAAGTTCCCACTGTACTAGCTGAGAGGGAAGAGACAAGCCCCAAATAGAGGGGTTATCGTGGCCACAGCCTTGGCCTGCATGGGTCTACTTCTGGGCCATAATTCCAGGTTGCTGGGAGAAAAAGCTGTGGGTTTCTGGTTCCCAAACGCCTTCATAAGGATAAGGTGCTTCAATATAGCCCTAACAGAGGGGACACAGAGCTACGGAGCCTCAAACCAGACGCTGCACTAGGAAGCTGCCAAATTCTGTTTATCGTTCCCTCATTGTTTTTATTTATTTCTCTCTTGCTGGAATCCATCCCTACTCACAGGGGTCCGTGGACCTCACAGTCTCTCTCCCTCTTTGTGGGAGCTCTGGTGGCGTAGTGCCTAAGGCTAACAGAAGCCTGGTGGTTCAAACCCACCAGCCACTCTCTGGAAGGAAGATTGAGAAATCTACTTCCATAGAGATACCGCCTTGGAAACCCATCTAATTCAGGAAATTTACTGAGAAACGTGTTCCCATGGAGGTATGAACAATTATTTACACACTGTTATTCCCAGGAGCCTTTTTTATTTTAATGGGCTAAAGTAAACCAAACCAAACCCACTGCTGTGGAGTCAGGTCTGACTCATAGCGACCCCTCCTTGGGTTTCTGAGGTGGTATCACTATGGAAGTAGATTGCCTACCCTTCCTTCTGAGGAGTTGCTGGTGGGTTTGAACTGCCAGCCTTCTGGTTAGCAGTCAGATGCCTTAGGCACTACACCACCAGAGCTCCCATGGGCTAAAGTAGGAGTTCCCTAGCACATACATGGGAAATGGTGGGGAAAACTTGATACTTCACTAATCACCAAAATAACTCCCACCCATATCCAATTTCCTAGAATTCCCATTGACAAAGGATGCAGACCCACAGCAATACCTCTCCCCTTTCTGAACAAAAGACTTCTGGCTTCAGCAATTCTGGTCTCTGGTCCCCAGATGAAATCACACTGCTTAGGGGTAAGGGTGATCATTTATTCACACACAAAGACTGGAGTCACCTGACAAAGCTCTACTTTCAAGAACAAACTCAGATTATCAAACAGCTGCAGGCTACACTGCCCCCACCCCATCTATTTGCTGAAGGTTCAGGAGAGAGGGTGGATGGAGAAAGAAACTGTCTCTCTCCTCAAAAATCCTTTTGCAAACTCCTCCATCTTAGTCTCTGTGCAGGTCGCCCAGTTGCCTAGCAACAACAGCCGCCTGCAGGATTTGAGGCTGCTTTCTGCCTGTAGGGAGCGCCTGTCTCCCTGAGGTCTCAGGCTGGGGCCCTAAGCAGTAGGGAGGGGGTTCCAATGTCAGTGTCAAAACACCTCAGTATCACTGACCTCTTCCCACGCTTGCTAAACTACACCGGTCTGCGTCTCAGCCATAAAGTGAAGAGAAGCTTACTATGAATCTTGTTGTTTGTTGTTATGTGCCATTGAGTCAGACCCGACTCATAGTGACCCCTCTTTAGGTTTCCGAGGTGGTATCACTACGGAAGTACATTGCTCAACCTTCCTTCCAAGGAGTGGCTTGTGGGTTTGAACCGCCAGCCTTCTGGTTAGCAGCCTAGCACCTTAGGCACTATGCTACCAGAGCTCCCACTATGAATCTTAGGGAGTTTTATGTTTAGTTTTTTGACCAGTTGGTGAGGATGGGGAGAGAGGAACAGTTGGATACTCTCCATTCACTATAGTCTCAGCAATGCTTGTCCCTCAATTACAGCAGTTCAGAGGGCCCAGGCTATCAGGACCTTTTTTTTTTTTTTTTTTCCTGAGCCACACTTAAGATGTAGGAAAGGAGTCTAGCAGTCTCCAGTAGCACCAACTACTAAGCATGTGAAAGACCATGCTCTTGGTTACCAACCTACCCTAGATTTAGTCAATAAGGAAGATATTCATGCTTTCATTTATTTAACAATAATTAACACTAGCCCACTATGTGCCAGGTCATGTGCTAAGTAATCTACGTTAATAATCCTATGATTATTTCAATTTCACAGATAAATTGAAACACAGAGAAGTTAAATAATGTCCAAGGTCATACAGCTAGTGGCTGAGTTGAGTCTGATTGAACAGCCACTCTGTTCCAGGGTTCAGAAATACAGAAAATAAGACCCTTTGACCACTTAGTCACTCTTCAGGACCAAACTAAAAATATCACCTTCTTTGTGAAGTCTTTCCTTAGCTGCTATCCCTCCTACCACAAGCAAAGGTAATAACTTGTTTTTCTGTGCACTTCTCTGAAATAACACTTTTCACAAGTATTATCATGATCTACTTCCATATTTCCATTCCTGTAACTTTTGCTACTTTGGTAACATGGCCAGTGTGCTATTCATTTCCACTTGGATACCAAATGTTGTTGTTGTTGTTGTTAAGTGCCGTCGAGTCGTTTCCGACTCATAGCGACCCCATGCACAGCA